CATAGCCATATTTAGGGTTGTTACATTTACGTTTTTGCAGATTATTAGGGTTAAAGTTGGAGTTTGTATTCAATATTTTTATGTCGGAATGGGATACTCTCAAGAGGGTCACAAGAGGCACAAATTATCTCGATAATTATTTGTTGGAAATGCTCTCGTTTGAATGTGTATAGCAAAAAAGCAATCACAAATTTCATGCTTCATTGTTGCAATGGAGATTCAGAAGAAATCAGAATCTTTGAATAACCCTATAACATTGAGTCTGATGGAAGAATAAGAAAGCGGTGGTTCTTGTAAAAGGAAAAAAGGTACATCACTGACTATGAATGGAAAAAATTTGATATGTAGTCATTCTGTTTTTTGAAGATGATTATAGTAAGATGTAGTCATATGAATGTAGCGTATGTTGAACAAGTAAGTTTATGTGGAGGATATACCTTCTAAATTGGTATATTGTGACATACATATAATCATTGAATATTTATAGTGTGTCATTACTCTTTGAATATCTACTGTTGTATTTGAATACCTTTTCATTTTTGAATACTTTCTAGTGTATTTAGAGTTATGTTGTTATTATGTATTCTAAAGTTGGTTGTAGTAATTATTGTCATTCTCTTAATATACATATAAAAAGTATCTTATTTAATGAGTAATGTATTTTCTTGATTTATCAGGGATTGTCGGATATATTAGATAGCATTTGCAGAGTACCTAAGTGAAGGTGAAAGTATTTCAGTTCAATATCTTGATTGTAAGTTACACCACATCAGATACGACGCACTATTGTGAAAATATGCAACAAAGAAGGAGGAAGAAGGGGTTGCTAGCAAGATTGAGGCACCACCCAAAATGATCAGGCCACCCGCAAATATCGAATAGTCAACTTGTTATAATTTTTTAGTTTCTTTTGCTAGTTTTGATTTTTAATTTCTATTTAATGCTTATGATTAAAACTAATGTTTTATTCTTTATAAAAAATTATCAACTCTTCTATTGATATATGATCATGTTGCTTTACTGTTTTGGTTGCTACTTTGTTAAACTTTTTTGTTGGGGTTATTGCATTCAATGTAGTGGTAGGAAGAGATGAATGTATGTTTGTGTAAATGTACAGTTCATCTAAAAATGTATAATCTTGGATATCTACTTTTGATAATCAATATGTTCAGTTGTGTATTTTTTTTTATCAATATATTCAATAGTATAAATGTATGCTAGAGTCTTTTTCATATGAAAATATACACAAGTATTACTATATTCATTTATTGTGAGTTACTGCTTAAAGAAATTTGGATACTTACATTCCTAGAATTGATAAACACATCATAAATGTTGGTAGTAATTACATTATTACATGTTTTTAAAGTGATTTTTATCATACACCAATGTAATCTGTAAGTGTATACCAAGAACATTGTTCCTTGTGTATTTTTATAGGTTGTCTATTATATTTATCAATTTTTCACTAGCATAAATGTTTTATATATGTATTCACCAACATATTATCAAGTATAACTATATGCACGTATTATCACTAGTTTGGATATGTCAATACATATTAATGTATCAAATTAAATATTGAGATAACATTCAAGTTAATTTATAATTTAAGCAAACAAATAAAAAAACAAATATTTCAAAAAGCAGATAATTTTTTTAATTCATTAATTTGACATAATGATAATTAAGTTAAAGAATGCTTTTATAGCGGGATGTATCAGGTACTATGCAGTTCGTATTGCAGTTCGACATGAACCACCTATTATATGTGTACAACAAGAATTAGTACACTTCCTTTTACTCAAATCGCTAAATGATTTCTCTTGTTTCTTTGGCCTCCCGGATGTCGCTTGTATTTTGGTGGCAACACAACTTCAGTAGCAGTGTGTTCAAGTAGATTCCATTCACTTTGTTCGGAAGAGGATACATGCGCTTCATATGTTTTAAATATTGTTTCTGCCAAGTAAAAATGTGAACAATATTCATCTAGAAGAATTTTTTTTTCAACACTCTCCACGCATGTACGCATGGTATTCCGTCAACTTGAAACCTATTGCAACTACAAGTCTTCTTTTCCAAGCATAAGATATAAGTCTTCCCTTCATCACTTACTAAATAAATGCAATCAATTGACATCACAACCTATAATCAATACATAATTTCATTTATACATTCTATACGAAAGTATACATACATTAAATACTTAGAATAACTGAATACATAATCAACTCAATACGAAAAATATTATTTTTCTCACAAAACATAAACTTTTCATTAATATACATACCATCATAAATAAAAACGAAGTTTATTTCTTCAGCATTATTCCGTTAATTCTATATTCTACATAGAAAATCTCTTCGCTCTATTTTATGAAACTTCGGATCAAAACTGTGATGATAGCTATTTAATTGTATTTTTCTTAGGAGGAAATTGAATAATGAAGAGCATACATAATTTTTATTTTTGAACTGATATGAATACTAAAAGGTAGTGACTAGTTACGTATTTAAAATGACGAATTAATGGATTTAAGGGTTGAAAAAAAAGCCTTGTCAGTTAAATTAACCAATTTATCTTATTTAGTGGGAAATTAGTTAGAATAAGTTTTTCTATTAAAAATAAAAAGACATATATATGGATATAGCCATTCACAAACTTTAGCTATTTTTTAAAAATATGATACTTATAGCTACTTTTATCTCATAAGCCTAAGACCATAACTATTTATGTAAGTTATACTTTAAAATTTTTATATTAACACTGAAAAAAACTCTTATATACATCATATAAACTTTTTGACAAGAAATTTCAAATGAATATACCTTCATGCCTTCTAGATTCGCCCTTACATAAAAAGTGGTTAAAATGTAGGAATTTTGTGTCTATAATAACAAAACAAATGATATCTCTTGGTATTTTCTAGATCTCTTATACATAAAAATGACAATTTTATATAATTAAAATAAGTTATAAAATCAGAAAATTGAATTTGTAACTGGCTATATAATAAAATTTAACTATTTTAAGGTATTAAATATCACATGCAAAAAAATTTAAGTGGACTTAATTGGACAGATCAAAGTAATTTTTTAATTTCGTAGTCCTATATTAATTGTTCACATTATAATATATAATTCTTCCAATCATTTTGATCTCATTTATACTTAAAATTATTCCTTTTTTATTTTTGTAAATGTAATAAAGTTTGTAAGCCTTCAGAAAGAAATTCTTTAAGTCCAAATCAATAAATTTATCATTTTTTTTTATGATTTTGTATACGGAAATGGCCTAAAATACCCTTGAATTATTGAAAATGGTACAAGATTATCCTTCATCCGCCTATTGCTCCAAAATGCACTTTTCATTCACCTATTGGCTCAAAAATACCCTTGTCATCCACCTTTGGGTTCAACATTGACCACTTACTTAATGATCAATTTTGAACCAAAAGATGGATGACAAGGGTTTTTTTGGACCCAATATGTGGGTGAAAAGGGTATTTTAGAGCCAACAGATGGATGAAGGGTAATTTTGTACCATTTCCAATACTTCAAGGGTGTTTTAGGTACAAAATTACCCTTCATTATACAAAAAAGAAAAGGGCCTAAAATACTAGCCAAAAAGTAAGTTTCCACTCAATGTTTCAAGATCCCTAAGAAAATTCAACACACAACATAACTTCGAAATAAACAACCAAAGTATCAAATCATACATCATTTAAGAACAACCATGAAATGTAAAAACCATCTCTGTTACCAAACAAATTATTCAAAACATTCACAATTCTATGTTTCCAAGCAGATAAAATCTTTTCAGTACCTTAAAGAAAAGGCAAAACACAGCCTTACTACTCCATCAACCAAAGGTCTCGTTTATGTTTGTCCTTCCAAAACATTTTAGCTAAAGATTAAGAAGGATTGTGATACCGATACTAATCAACAAGATACACAACTTCTGCTTTAGATTATAAAAGATAGTCAATTAGATGAAACAAAAAAAAGAGCATCTAAGATAGAACTCTCAAGTAATATTGTTGTATGTTATTGAGTTTTTTTTGTTTTTTTGATAACCAAGAAGTCCTCGAGGGTCAATAGTGCACGGTTCATAACTCAGTGGATAATATACCCACCCCTTTACTCTTCTCCACTTATATACCAGACTTTTTGTCTACGGTAGGGTTCGATTGAGATTGTATATATATGATTATATGGAAGCTGCATAAAGGAATGGGATATGTTTTGACTATATTGGAAAAAGACTGATTTATGAACAACTGACCCCACCCCCACCCCCACCCCCCACCCCTTTTTTACCTTTTCCTGTTTTTAGTGATATTTTTTCTAGAGTGTGGAATTGTAACATTGAACTTGTAAGAATAATATTGTTGAAATTCAATTTCAGCATATAATGTCTATTGTACCATAATTCTCATTGAAAAATGTTGTTCAAAGGGATTATCTTGTCCATTCAAAAGGGGTATTGTTTATTAACCATAGAGATCAAGGAATTTGATCGAATTTCATTCTTTCTCACTATTCAGAGCAATGTGTCAACAACGTCGTCGACTCTCATAAAACAACTAGTTGAAATCGACTATTTGAATCCTCACTATTCCATTTACGCTCAACTCATGTCATGTTCATATCAAATAAAAAAGAATGCACAATGACCATGAGGACCACAATGAATATATTAAAAAGATCAATAACCAACCAAAGCGTCATCCCATAGATCAGTCAAAGAACAGACATTGAAAAAGATTAATCAAAAACATACATCCAGATTCACTTATGTTCACAAACTGATGGTATTCACAATGGAAAATACAAAATAACAGCCTTATTGCTGTATCAACATTCTTTTTACGATTTCAAACATTTTAGCAAAAGATTATGATCTGATTAAAGACTAGTTAGATCAAACAGGATCGTAATATGGATTCTAATCTACACTATACACAACTTCTACTTTAGATGATGTACGCTGAAATTCTGTTACCTCAGCGAGTACTTTAAAAGATTCTTTATCTTCCGTTTCAAGGGCTTGGCTATCATTCTGACCAATGTTGGGGACTTGTCCAAGAAAACCTTGGTAAGCTGCATTTCAGCTGCTACTCCTGTTACATCATAAATATTTACTGTCCTCAGGTGATTAAATGTCATATCCGAGAAACTTTCAGGAATATCATCAACAGCCTCCCGGCGCGCATGTTCTAAATAGTTCTAAGAAAGATTAAGAAATACAATCAGCCTTGATTTAAAATTGAAGATCATAAGAAAGACAATGCATACGAAAAAGAGAGAGAAAAGTAAACATCATTAACAACCTCGATTTCAATTTCTTCTAAATTTGGAGAGCTTCTTATTAAGCAAAGAGTAAATTAAAGATCAAAGAATACTCCTAGATTAATGCAAGATATGTGAAGTCATTTAATATAGAAAAGAGCATAAGGGAGCCAGTCCAATATACAGGTCCTAGGAAGAAAATGTCGAAAATCAGGATGACTCAAAGTTATGAAAATGCAAGTTATGAAGCTATATTACATGAACATACTTGTGATTCCAGCGGAGATTCTCGAGAGCAGGAATAGACTCAAAAATCTTGTCAACATCATGTTCTACCTCTACCAAAATTCTGTAGGCTCATATGAAACATTGGAAAGAAGAGGGACATTCTTTAAATGTAAAAACTTTATTGACAATGAAGATAATTGACCTCAGCTTGAGAACACTAATTTCAATGTGATTTTGTGATCGCATCATGTTGCAACACCAAATGTTCAAGCAATGGGAAATGTGAGATTACACTTCCAAGTAATTTAGAAGAAATATTGACTTCAATTAGTTCAAAGCTAATTAACTAATCAAATCCCTCAAAGACCGGATGAGGACGTATTAGACAGTCCTTGAGAAAAAGATGCCTCAATTGTGAAAATATAAAAAATGCAGAAGGCAATTCATATGGCTTACTCCTAAATGGAGGTTTAAGGACAAGATGTTGAATGCCATTCCTAGAGAGGAAATATATCAAGTGATATCAAATCCTCTGTTGTTTTCTAAAGTGTTTGATCAAATTTCAGTTGCTGAAGTCTATGCCAATTATATCTCCATTTCCTTGATAAGATGCTTGTCCTCGCAACATTTCGTAAAGGCAACCTCGTTAGAATGTCATCAATTACACTATCAGGAAGGTTACTAAATACATTGCGGAGGTAAAAGTTGTTTTTTCCCATTTGGAACCATAACATCAAATGACTACTACAACAAGAATGTACATAAATTAAACAAGACCACAATATCTAAGGAATCTCGAAATTGTCCGGTTAGAGTACACACTACATAGTTTACTTGTGAACTGATAAAGAGATAGTTTCCGAAAGAGCAAAAGCTCAAGTGTATTAAATCCAAGTAAAATAAGTGCTTCTTTAGTTATCCAAAACTTAGAAACATATTATTCCCATTTCAACCTAGTAAAAATCCTAATTCTGCCACCACTGAAACACATCCATGATAGATCTACACCTACCAACACACCATGTCCTTGAAAAACATTAACTCCATCAAGTTTTAACCAAACCCCACTTCAATATCATCATATTAAATCATAACCAAACAATAAAAATGCAATCTTGATATCGATATTCTATAGAACAAGAACCATAAACGAAGAGAGTTTGTGTTAACAATGAAGAAAACAATAAGTTAAAGAAACAGAGAAGAAGAAGAACCTCAGAGAGGATGAATGTAAAGCACTCTGCTCTCTTTGTCTTCTCGAATGGAGCTGTTGGAAGAAAATGAAGAGACAAGCTTTTGAAAATATTTTATTTTGTGTGAGGATGAAACTTACAATTTTATTGTTATATTTTCGATTTAGAAGTTAACAATTTATTTTGTAATGAATGTTGAAAGTATTTTCTATTCATGTGAATTTTTTATTTTTCAAAAAAATTGAAAATATATTTGATCTCTTTTTCAATCACCGTGTAATTATACAAAAATATAAAATAAATCAAAAGAATAGACTAAAGTCGAAACTAAAAAAATCCAACTTTATATGATTTGATTTAGTTTTAAGAACTAATTAAATAAAATAGTTAGTTTAGGTTTTTTCTAATTAAAATGTAAATCAAATCGACCTTTGTGCCCCCTCATTTGAAATAAAGAGCAAATTTGATTTCGTATTTAACAACTAAAACTTCTTTTTTTCGTTTTTCATAATGATTGAAAGAGTATATATATTAACTCCCAAGTAATATACATTTTCTTGTTTAAATATTTTGTATATCATACGGTCATCTTACATGTTAAAGTATGTAATATATCTTATTTAAGATGCATCACATATATTTAAATTGAGAGAATATATACAGTACAAGAAAAAAATTAAGGAAAAGATAATCCAGACACATTTAAAGTTTTATTTTTTTTCCTTTTGCGAGTTTTATATGTAAATCATCATGTGTTTTTAATGTTCTATTTGAATTATTTTATGACGGTTCCAACTTCCAAAGCCATGTCTTATTTCAGACATGGATCAATAACAAGATTGTCATGCAAAATCTTTGTTAGTTCTGCTAACACACAACATAACTTCAAAATAAACAACCAAAGTCTTAAATCAATAACAAGAATGAAATGAAAAACCATCTCTTTTCTCAAACAGAGTATTCAAAACATTCATCCAGGTTAACAATTCTATGTTTCCAAGCAGATAAAATTTTTATAGTACCTTAAAGCAAAGGCAAAACACAGCCATGCTACTCCAACAACCAAACGTCTCGTTTCTGTTTGTACTTCCAAAATATTTATGCCAAAGATCAAGAAGGATTGTGATAACGATACTAATCAACAAGATACACAACTTCTACTTTAGACGATGCCTGTTAAAACTTTGTTATCTCTGCGAGTACGTTGAGAGATTTGTTAGTTTCCATTTGACGAGGCTTGATTACCATTTTCACCAGTGCTGGATACTTTGCCAATAAAATCTTGATAAGCTGCATTTCAACCTCTTCTAATAGTACATCATAAAACTTAACTGTCCTCAGATGATTAAATCTGATATCCAAAAAGCTTGCAGGAATCTCATCAACAACCTCCTGGGGCACAGATTCGAAATAATCTCCATCACTAAGGATACATTCCTAAGAAAAATCAAGAAAAAAAACCATCAAGTAATTACATACGAATATAAAAACATGGAAGATATAGAGAGAAAAATAAACATTAGTGACAACCTTGATTCCAATTTCTTCCAAATTTGGAGAGCTTCGTATTATGCAAAGAGCAAATGAAAGATCAAAAAACTCTCCAAGAGTAATCCATGACATGAATAGGCGTTTCAGACAGTTAAGAGCTAATGGAAGCCTTGTTAGTATAACTTCAGTTGACCCATTATTGACCTATGAATAAAATGACAAAAATCAGGATGAATCAAAGTCTAAAAAAAGTACAAATGAAATTGTATTACCATTAAGTAAAATGAAGTAAAATACCTCAAAAAAATCCCAGCTGAAACACTCGAGAGCAGGAATAGACGAAAAAATATTGACAAAATCATCTTCGTCCTGTAGAACTAATTCTCTAGGCGCATAAAGAACATTGGAAAGAACGGGGACATTTTCAAGATGTTTCAATTGTATATCGCCACGAAAGATAAATGACCTTAGCTTTGGAGCATTAATACTCATGGGGTACAGATTGTCTATGTCTTTTAGCACCAAATCCTCAAGCAACGGGAAATTAGATATCAAACTTTCAAACGTATCAGAAGATAACGTGACAGATTTCAATATTAGCCTAATTAACTTATTAAATCCCTTAAAGAAACATGGAAGCTGTATTTCACATTCCTTGAGATACAAATGCCTCAATGCTGAACAATTCAAAAAGAAGTTAGGCAACCTGTATAGAGGATAAGTACATGAAAGTTTAAGGACAAAATGTTGAAGATGATCAGTGTCGAGGGAAAAAATCAAACGATCAACATCAAGACACACTATTAGACTAGTAATATTGAGGGCGACCTTCAATATTATTCCTCTATGAAACCTGAGAAAACTCTCAAGAATTGGAATAAATCCAATGGTAGGGGACATCAAGTCCTCTGGTGTTTTCCACACTGTTTGATCAAACTTCACATGTGGAATTCTCCAGCATATATATTGCCAGTCCTTCGAAAGTGTACTAACTCTAACAACATCTCGAAAAGACAACCTACTTAGAATGTCATCGATTAAATAAATGTTAAGGTTGCTAAGTCGATCAGGAGAAGGTAAACTAAGTCCTTGTTCATCTGGAGGCATGACAATCTGTAGAAAGTAAACAAAAGTACGATAGATAAGATCAAAGTACACGCTACACGAACAACAAACAAACATGTCACAAATCTACGATTAAAAGAAAAGGTGCATAATAGGAGGCAAATGTAACCTTTTTCCATGTTTAAAAAATGCAAAAGAAATTATTTGTAGCTGACATTTGCATTGATTTCTTTAATCTTCAACTCTTGATGTAAATTTGTTTAGATTAGGCTAATTCAAACACATATAACGTATTTTTGTATAGAATTTAGAACTTAGAAGTTTAAATTAGTGATGTTATACTTATTTTACTTGAACTTTATTGTATTGAGTGCTTATATCAAAACACTATAGGAATAAGTAATACTTGACACTTCCTTCAGCACTAAAGATGTCATTTGGTATTATATATAAAAATAGTGTTGTATGAAATTTTAGTACAATGTTTGACTGTAAGTTTAACTCTGGTACAACTATTACTAGTATTACAATTAACCTCTTTTGGGATATATGACCCCAAGCATTTGTTCTACAAGAAGCAGAAAATATTAATTTAGTGAACTACACACTTGATTTTAATATTTTTGTGTAACAGAATAAAAAAATACATCATGAAATTTTAATTTATGTATAAGCTATTTATAAGAACACCAAAATCATGAAAATGGTATTATTTTTAAATTCAAATAATCATATCCAAACCATAATTAAACCTAAAACTATCAAGACTTGAATGATAAATCATATTCCTACAAATTAAAAAAAATTGATAATTGAACAAGGTGATATTCATTATTCATGACTAAGCCATAAGTCCATATTTTACCTTTAACCTATGTTTTCTCAAGACAACATAATTAGAATTACACAAATATTTTACTTTTTTCTTAATAGTGTATTTTTGTAAACACTACAATATTAAAAGGAAACAAGTTTGAAATAACTTAATTTTGTTTCTATAATTACACCGTGAATTTAGATACACCCATCATTGGAGTATACTATAGTTCTTTTTTATGAAATTTTTTTTATTCATGTTGTTATTGTTGTTTTAATTAGGGTTTGTTCAGAGGGTGACTCAATCCCTTTAAAGATGAGGCATATGTCTTAGGTCCCCAAAATTGGAAGGCCTAACTTTAGTAACAATAAAATTATCTTAATCTTTTTGTAGAAAAAACAAAGAATGTTTTAATTTGTATGGAACTCTTTCGTATGGATCAATTTTATATTTAAATTCCACATGATAAGTTTAAGTCCACAAGATTAAAAATATTTTTTGGTATAAATATATCTTTAGTTTAAGATCATGAAAATAAAATTATTTTTATGAAAAAGAAATAAATAATTTGAATCTCACATAAAAATAAAATATAATTAAAATTTCGGCCTCCAACTTATTTTTATTTTTAAGACACTATCTAGCTTGAGCCTTCACTTAGTTTATTTATCAATTATGTGTACTAACTGTTGAAGCAAGCTTGACAACTGATAGAACACTTCAAAGGAACAGATCCATCGAAGCAGAGTGACGAGTTAAAGTTAGAGCCGTACTAGGATTAGACTATTAAATCTTATGTTATGTACGACTAAGCTATTGAATATTATAGGAGTCAACTATGATAATGTATTTGATTTGTAATAAAATACTACTCATGTAATTATTTGTATTGTACAAGGACTCCTAGTATAACTAAAATAAGACTCTTCTGCGATATAAGGAGATTGTAACTCAACATTATAATAATCAATACATCCTTGATTTCTACATACTTTCGTGAGATTTCGACATGGTATCAAAGCAATAAAGCTTTTCCGCTTTTTAACATATTAGATCATAATAAAAAAAACCAAGTTTATCAAACAACAATGACCCCTTCTACCAACATTCTTTGGACCTCTTCACTTCATCATTTTATTTTGTCCTGCTCCATTAAACTTAAGCTAATGAACTATCTTTTATGAAGGACACAAATGACTCAGTTGATTCAAGTGATAAGATTAACCGAATTCATCACAAAACCAGGTTAAGCGACCTGTTCCACTTTGAAGACTACTGAGAAAATTGTAATAGGCGAGAAGAGTGTTAAAGACAAAAACATTGTTGATGACTAGAAGGAGAAGGATGTGTTACTAAGGAGTTGGATTTCAGGCACTTTGATAGAAGAAAACATGTACCTGATTGTAGGCTGCTCAACTGCCAAGAAGATGTGGAAATGCTTGGAAGAAACATATCTTCAAGCAACTAAAGATAAGTAGTTCCATCTCAAGCAACAATTGCAAAGTGTGAGGCTAGGAACCAAAAAAATTGACGAATACATTAAGGAATTTAAAGGCATATATGTGATGGTCTAGCAACAATTCACAATCATGTAGATGAAGATAACAAAAGTGATTAATTTTTCTAGAGGTATAGGTCATATTTACAAGACCTTCAGGACTGTCAAGTTATGTAAGACACCATATCCTACTCTTAATCAGTTTGTTCATGCTCTCAGGGGTCTTGATATGAGGGAGGATAAAAAAAAAGTTCCTCAATAAAACCATAACATGACATTCTCTGCCAAAGAGGCAGGGTAAGAGGAAACTACTCTCAAAGAAGAGGAAACAATAACTTCAATTCAAGAGAAAGATGCTTCAAGTCTGCTGGACAAGGAACATGTCCTTATAACACCAGAAACGGACCAGGTCCTCAAAACAGTTCTTCAGGTGAAAGTCATGAAAGAGACAATAATAATGCGTGTCAAATTTGTGGTAGGAATAACCATACTACTCTTAAGTGTTTTTACAGGTGAGACTACTTTTACCAAGCCAACAGATGAGCTACCACAAGCATTGACTACTACTAATCTATAAAACACTACTGATGACACCTTATATGTGGACTCAGGAGAAAGAAGCCAAATGACACATTACTCAGGTATCCTAACTGATCTTAAACAAAACACTGAACCAAATAAAATAATTATTGGGAATGGATCAAAGTTAAACATTATACATGTTGGAAACATATTTGGAACAGGTCCAAAGTTAAAGGAAGTTCTCCTAGTCCCTAAGATCAACAAAAATTTACTCTCAGTTTGTAAGCTTGCAAAGGATAATTGTTGTACTCTTTAATTTGGTGAAACTAAATTTATTGTAAAGGACAAGTGGACAAGGACATTGCTGGACAAAGTATCTAAAAGGAATGGACACTATGCTTTGCAGACAACAATCTCTATGCCTTGACTGCTGCACACGACTAGAACACGTCAAAAAACATGTGGCATACTAGATTAGGACACCCTAGTTTGAAGTTTTTAAATTTTTTTGAGTAGTAATAGTTGCATCAATGTTAGTAGTTAGAATAAAATTCCTACTGTTTGTTCTAGTTGTTAGTTGAGAAAGAGATGTAAACTTCCTTTTTGTTTGAGAGATAAAATTGAGAAAAACCCCTTATTGAAAATTCATCGTGACTTATGGGGACCAGATCCTGTTGAGGCTTCCCATCATATGAAATATTATGTATTTTTTATGATGATCACATAAGATATACATGGATTAATCCATTGAAAAAGAAGTCTGAATATATTTCATAAAATGGTAGAAAAATAATTTGCTAAAAAGATTAAGATTTTTCAGTGTGATTAAGGTGGTGAATTTATCCAAATAGACTTCATTAAGTATTTGGAAGATCATGACATTAAAAGATATATTTCATTTCCTAACACACCTGAACAACATGAAATTGCATAGAGAAAACATAGGCATATTGTGGAGACCGACTTAACTCTACTACTTAATTCTAACCTACCTCTGTTTCTTATGGGTTGAAGCTTTTCTCACTGCAATAGTTCTCATCAATAGATTATCTTAATCAATCCAAAAGATGGTGACTCCGTTTATTAAGTTTCATGGGGAACAACCTGGATACAACAACCTAAAAGTATTTGGGTGTAGATGTTTTCATATATTAAGAGTAACAATAAGTTCAGTCCAAAGACCTATCCTTGAATTTTCATAGGGTATAACAACTTGCACAAATGATATAGATGTTATCATCCCTCTACAAGTAGGTTTTACATATCCAGACATGTTGTGCTTGATGGAAACAAATTACCCTATGTGTCTTCAACTCAATCTCAGACTAAAATTGATGTCTCACCTCACCTTGCTACTTTTGTTAAATCTTTCTCTAAACTACAGACACCTAATAATTATGATTCAATGGAAATACATGTTGCTAGCCTACGCATTACTGGTGATAATGCTGGTACACCTCATATACCCATTGATGATGAGAGTATTATTGACCTCTCAGGGGAAGTATCAGATGTTGAGGAACAGGTTGAAGTTGATGATCCATACATTAGCATCGAAACTCCAGCTGCAAATTTTGAATCTGCCAGTAGCAGTGAAGAACAATTTGCTCTTACAGGTCCAGTTAATGATCATCATCAAGCAACCATTTTATTTGATTTATTAGTCGACCAACAAATTGTCAATGCTACACTCTAGTCCACTATCTTGGTCGATGTAATAGTTGAGGTACTTCCTGAACTAGGAACAGGGCGAAGGAACGGCACTTGTTACTTGTTGCTTGCAGCAGCAAAGAAATTGTGAAAGAACCAAATACTACTAAGGAATCACTAAAATCACATTATTAACTTGCATCGATGCAAGAAGAAATTGATGTTTTACATATTAACAAGACATAGATTTTTGTGCCTAAATCTCCTGGTATGAACTTGGTTGAATCAAAATGGGTGTTTAAGACAAAATTAAAAGCTGATGGGACAATAGATAGATTTAAGGCCTGACTTGTGGCAATGGGATTCTCGCATCTTGAAGGGATGCATTTTGAAGAAATATTTAGTCTTCTAGTTAAATCTACAAGTATTAGTGTGGTTCTATCAATTGTTATCAGTTTAAAGAGGAAAATTAGACAACTAGAAGTCAAAATGTGTTTCTCCAAGGCTTTTTACAAGAGGAGGTATACATGAGTCAACCTCCTGGTTTTATTGATC